AATGTAAATTGTCTTGTAAAATTTTATTTATAGAGAATAACTTTTTTACAGATAAAGAAGAGCTATTCTTACTACTATAAGCCTAGTAATCAGTATGGCTAATTTGTGACCTAAAAAGCCAAACAGATGTGGGACAGGCTTTATTATTGAGGAGTATCAATGAATCACTTACATTTGCAGTTATTTTACTTTGTTAGCATTTGTCACTATTTGCCATGAGACCCGGAGAACCTTAACTTTCCTGATCCTCACTTTCCTATCTGTACAATGAGATAAGGAGAGTACCTACTTTACGTGGTCAATGTGAGAATTAAAATGAGAAATGGATTTAAAATGCTTAGTACAATGCCTGGGACATATGAAGCGCTTAATAAACTTAAGTCATGACAATAATACCACTAAATGTTATTGTTATCCAAGGTAACATCCCCTTCTTCTCCAACTGGAACTTACTCTGCAAATGTCTCTTACTCTCTTCCCCAGCAGAATACCCCTTTTGAGCTCCTATGGCAGTTTGTGTCTGTCTCGCTTATATAAGAACTTGATATATTTTTTTATAGGGAGGTCTGCATGCAACTGTCTCCTTTACCAGAGCGACAGTTTTTTGAGGTCAGAACATGCTAGGCCTCAATACATACTGAATGAGTGCCTTTATGAACATTGTGGGTGTAATTTTGTGGACATTCTTTTTAGACTGCCTATGGTCTTGATTATATGCACCCTACTCATTAATGCAAATAACAAAGACTTAAATAATTTGTTTTATTATATGGTTTGGTTATGTGTTGCTGCATAATAAACTATGACAAAGCAGAATGGCTTAAAAAGCAGTCATTTTATTTGTTTACTATTCTGGGGATTGACAAGGGCTCAGTTGGACAGTTCTCTTGATTTTGCTGGCAGTGCACATGTCATTGCAGTCAGATGAAGCTGAGACTGGGATTTTCAAGACAGAGCATTCACTTACTAGTTTGGAGCCTTGAGTGATACCAGGTCTCAGTTGGAATGCTGGCATGGCTGGGCCTTTATGCCAATTTCTCTTCCTCTCGCACCTCGTGCTCTTCTCCACCTTCCACTTGTTCTCTCCAGAAAGATAACCATATTCACATGGTGGCTCAGGCCCCCCTTAAGTGCAAAAGCAGAAGTTGCCAGGTTTTCTTAAGGCTGCAACCTGGAACTGTCCCAGCGTCAGTTACACCCTATAGCTATGCACGTTCCTGCAGTGCTACTCACAGGCCCCGCCTACGTCCTAGGAGGGAGGACTAAACAATGATAAGACTACCAGCAGGTGTAGTTCATGGTTCACTGGGGGCCACTATGTAACAGAGTACCAAATCATAATAACGATTTTCCTTTTGTAAGTTTTCAAATAAGCATTAAAAAAAATGTCGAACTGTTAGAGGGACAAGATGGACATGTAAAGTCCTTGCAAGAATCAGACAATTCAAATTCTCTGCCCCTATCCTAGCTTCATGCTGTCACATGTTCATCTGTATTACCATTTACAGATGCTTTTTTCCTAGGGTTGTGGTAGAATTTAAATGATACCGTGTAATAAGTATCTGGCACATTATAGGTTTTCTAGATAATAGCTGTTGCTGTATTTTTATTGCCATCATCATTTTTTAATGACTAAAATATTGGTGTCAGTGCAAAGAAAAATAGCTAATGCAATACATTTCATATGAACTGAGAAGAAACATTTTGGTTAGCTTCTTCATTTTCAGTTGACTGTATCTTTCCTTTGTATCTCTGGTCTGTAGATAAGATTCCACATAGATTTTAAGACTTTTTAGTAGCTAAACTCTGGAGGAAAGTATATCTGTCCATACTGTCTTGGAAGGCTAGGAAGTATATATTTACTAGGCTTTTACATGGCTTAGTATTGGTGTATCAACTTGATGATTTTTAGTATTTTGTGACTCATGCTGATGTTAAAACTTTAAAAATACAGTTGCTTGGGGATTTGATCCAACTGCAGTGGAAATTTTGTAAATACATTTTAATAGTCTGTTGTGATAGAGGTTTTAGTGGAAAATTGGTTCAGAATATTATTAATCAACATAAACAAAGCATATTAAAGTTTTCTTTTTGAGGGTCCTTGAGTTGTGTATCATTTATTTTCTTCTTAAATCTATGTTGTTACAAACCACCACAGTTCTGCCCTAAAATAGCTAGGTTGCATTTGGGGCTGGTTCCTTGTCTATCACATGATTTTTCATGCAGGGGAAAGAAAGACATGTTACAGCAGGAAATGTCTTCAGTCAGTACATAATTACAGGTTTACCTGGGAACTCTTTAAAATGGGATGGGTTAAGTATGAGACAACCCAGTAGAGGGGAAAGACCATGGTCCTTGGAGTCAGACAGTTCTGGCACTGTGAAGCCTTGGAGAAAGTGACTTCTTTGAGCTTCACTTTTTCAACTGTCGGCAGTACAGAGATGTTGTGAAGATTTAATGAGCTAAGAATGAACATATTGGACCATTGGACCACATCAGATATGAAGAAATGCACTGAGCAGTGAAGTCTGTATTTTTAAAGGTTTCATAAAGCCAAGCAGATGAACTTGATTAGTTACACGATTGGATTAAAGGTAACTGAGGCTTTAAATGATGAACTATTTCAAGGAGAAGAAAATGGTGCTGAGGTAGTATCAAGTTTGAAACAGCTACGGTTGGGATTCCATGAACAAAGGGACCAAATTTACGATGAAAGTACAGAAGTGGATTTGGAAATGGATTCTAGCCCTCTCACTTCTTTGTGTTCACATACTTCCTTTTTTGTCTGAGGTTCTGAAACAAAAACAAAATGTAGTCAGGCCCTGCGACAGCTGAAGGAGCTTTTGAATTCTTTCTAAAGAGGAAATTGACTTTACCTAACCAATGCGCTTCCTGTGTGTGCCGTATCCGTTAAAGAGTGAGCCAGGACCTGGTTGGTACAGTGCTCAACTGCAGAATTTCCTCTTGGTAGTAGGAGTGCAAACTATATTTCAGTGCTTCGACATGTTGTCTCGTTTATTCTGGTATTTGTAAGGTCTGTATGAATTACCCATGGATCGTGTTAAAAATGTAGGTTCTGTTTCTGTAGTTCTGGGTGGGGCCTGAGATGCTGCATATCTAACGATATTTTAGGTAATTTACCAAAATCACAAGGCATTCTCTCCCTGGTCCTTTTAAAAATGTCTTAAAAACGCGTGGTTAACTTCATTTTTATTCAACAGCATTTATTTGCCCGGTGCTATGTATGCTAGGGCCTGATTCTCAAGGATCCCACAATTGAGTGATGAACCAAATCAAGTACATTTTGAGTGTGGACCTTTTATTATTTTTTTTAATTTTAACTTGGGTGTATTTCATAGAAGTTCTCTACTAGCTTTTACAAAGATTAGCTAACAATTAGATTTAAATTGGGATTTCTCTTTTTCTTTATGATTTAAGGTGTTTTTTTTACTGTGTACATACTATTGTAGTTTACATTAATGTAAAAAGAAAATTGTTTCCATGATATGCCCACCCCAGCCAGTCAAACTCTTCCTCTTTTTTTCTCTATTTCTTTGTAGTTCTTAGGCATGGGCATCTTTTATTTTTATATGGCTGTGAACATTCTGGAAAAGTTTTGTATTTTGCTTTTTAAATTTACTGTTAGAGACTAATAGAAAGGTTTCTGAATTTTTCTGTTAACTGTTGAAATGCTGTGCTTCTCCTTATTTTGAGATATTCTTTCTTGGTGGATATTTCTTGAACTTTAAACACGCTTGCTAAGAGAAAGTTAGCAAAAGAGTTAGAGTAGTAAACATGAAACTAAGATAATATTTGTAAAGTATGTATTTGCTTTAATTCAAGTGACTATTTGGCTTACAGTTAGAATATCCCTGTTAAGTGAGAGAAAGTGAATTTGTGTTATCTGTATTCTTAAAAATAAAAACCTGGTGTCTGTGTAGACAACTGATTGTTTTTAAAATATGTGTGAGATTTAAAGACTTTCCTGTCATATCTCCTGAAACAATAGTCATTTTTCTGGATCTCTGGAACTCAGGGCAATGTTTTCGAAGTATGGGCTGAAGAATCACGGGTGTGTTCATGAAAATTGAAACTCCAGCCACCCTCTCCTTCAGCCTCTCCTCCAGTCTTCTGGATCAGTAAGTCTGGGATGGAGCAGTGCAGTCTAAATAATAACAGGCAGCCTATATGATTCTTCTACAAACCAAGTTTCATAATTACTGCACCAGGCAAGCCATAGTTGGGATGTGAGGGAATTTGTAACCTCTGAAATTGAATAAATTTATTTACGGTATGGATTATTCATTTTGGGGAGAAGCGGGTCTATAAACCTCTCACTGAGATTGGCAAACAGCACCATGACATAAAAAGGATTAAGTTATTGTCCTAGGGGTATATTTTTCATAAACACTTTCTGCCTCCTCTGAGCTTCTTTGCATTTTAAATAAATTCAGTTTTCTTTAAGCATGATGAGGACATTTTATCCACAAGACAATCTTAAAATTTTTGTATTATGTCTTCCTACTCTATCATTTCTCTACTTGTTTTCAGTACAACAAATTATAATCCTCTCCTAAAAATTTTTTTTTGTTCTGAAAGGTACTGTTACCAAGAACTACTTTGTACAGCTAGTAATACTTTTTAACATTTATTTATTGAGAACAACTTGGTTATTTTACCAAGTGTAATAGATTATTTTCATTTAATCCTCACAGCAACTCCTTGAGGTAAGCATTATTATATTCACTGGACAAATAAGGAAATTGAGGCACAATTAACCTGACCAAACTGACATGGTTTGTGAGTGATGGGACTAGGGTTTGAGCCCATTGTGTCTCACCTGAAGGTCAGTTCCATGCAATTCTGGGAGTTTGTGCAGAGTCACATTTGATTTATCAAAGAATGAAAGATGATGGTTGTAGTGCCTCCAGACCGTGGGCGCTGCCCATGAATTAGCCTTTGCTGGAGATTCTGATTCTGAGTCTTTGTGTTCTTTTCAGATTAAAGAGAGTGCATCACAGACAAGAGATGTCCTCAAACAGCATTTTAATGATTTAAAGGGAACCCTTGGGAAGCTCCTGGATGAGCGATTGGTGACCCTTTTGCAGGAGGTGGACACCATTGAACAGGAGACCATTAAACCACTAGATGACTGCCAGAAGCTCATAGAGCATGGAGTTAACACAGCAGAGGACTTAGTCCAAGAAGGTGGGAGTCCAGGGAGCATATTAAATATGTTGCATTCAGATTGACGCTTTGCCAATTTCTCAGAACACCGGCAGGCTTCCTGCCATCTGTGGGGTACTTAGGATGTTTGTATCTTCGGACAGTTTAAGATGACAGATATACAGTGAGGTATCCCAAGGTAAGTGCAATTAAAGTGTTAATTATAATCACTTACAAAGCAAGGAGTAAATGATTTTCTTAGATGATTTATGATAGTATCTCATTCACTGCTAACACAGTGAGTTTAAGGTCATTTTGAGTCTGTTCAAATAATTTTCAGAGTGTTCATGGTTTACAGAATTTAACTCCATTGTTCTTTTTATAAGGTTAAGAAGTTGATCGGTGTATACTCCTGAAACTGTAGTAGTTATATTCCTGTCTTAAGCCATTGTTTTGGTTAAAGCATGCCCCATATCTTGCCTTGCTACTTTCCTCCCTTCAGGTGTACCTTCCTTCCCGCACATAAGTCTTTGTCAGGCACATTAAATAAAGAGAGAACAGTTCTGCCCTTTGGGGACACAGCCCAGTGAGACAGGGAGTTCTAAGACCTCATGGGAGCATAGAAGGGGAATCACTTAATGCTGGCTGGAAGAATGTAGGATAGCGTTCTGTAGGAGTTCCACAGAGGCTCAAAGAAGTTCAAGCAGACCAAGAATGGAGGTAACATCAAGAGTGAAGTGAATGTCATATCAGGCATCTATTGATGGATAGAGGCAAAAGAGTTACAGAATCAGATTTGCATTTAAACAATGACAGTACCTACAGTTCAGAGTCTGTATTAGAGGTTGTAAGATTGGAGGTAAAAGAGACTGATGAGAAGGTTGTGGCAGTGATCCAGACAGGAAATGATGAAGGCAGTGACAGGTGAAGGTAAGGCAGAGCTGGTTTACAGATTTTTCAGAGGTGGAATTATTATTGATTCTGCTGATCACTAAGTGTTGATTGTTGGTGGTTGCGTGGGTACAGGTTGAAGGAGGAAGGGAAGGATTCAGGATGACCGAAACCAGCCTGCTGTAGGGTGACCATGTGAATCGTGCCGTTTACTGAGGTAGGACGCAAAGGACGAGGGTGAGCATCATTGAGTAGTTAGGCATTTGGTTTGGGGCATGTTGAGTTTGAGGTGCTTAAGATTCCAGAATGTAGGTGGGAATGTGGGTGTGATGCTTAGGAGAGAGATCATACCTGGAGAGGTTCATATGGCAGTTAATGGTGTGTACATCAAAGTTGAATCCATGCGAATAAGTAAAATCATCAAGAGGTAGTGTATAATATGAAAAGAGAAGGTGGCAGAGGATAGAACTCTAAGGGACACCAACATTTAAAGGGAAGTTGGGGAAAAAGGAGCCATAGAAAGAGACAGAACACCAAGCATTCTGCACTGTGTGCTGAGAGGGGCATAGGATAAAAAGTATGCATGGCCTCCAAGCCTGTCACTCCAACTGGAAATTAATCCCCTTTTTAGTTCCACTGAGAATGTGATACTAGTATTATCTTTACATGCTAATTACATTTTCATCTTATCTTCAGTGAGAAGTGTCTATTTGCTACTGACTATAACAGTGCCTTTGAGAAAACTCCTGTAACTGGGGCCACAAAATGTCTTTCCCTAGAGGCTTTGCATGTCAAAACAAACCCAGAAACAGGTCAGCACAGGTCAGGAGTGCACACCCATCACCCTGAGGACTGAGAAACGTTTTTATTTTTGAAAATTAATCCTTTGAGTCACATACATGTTTGTTACAGCATCTGATTCTTGAATATTTTTATATTTCAGAAATATTTTAAATTTCAAACTCTTGCTTCCCCTCCCCTCCTCAGAGATCAAATCTTATCTGTAGAATTTTGAGGACTTTGAGGCATTGTTCAGTATGTCTCTGTTTTCCTTTCGTGAGGGAGGTCATGAATGTGGTCTCAAAAAACTTGGGTTACTCCAAGGCAGGTTCAGATGGAAAACAGTTCTGGTAATGTTCTTTGGGGCTCTAGAAGTTAGTCATTTTTAAATGCCTTCATATAGCACTTCCTTTTTATTGTTCTGCTGAGTAATTTCTAATCTAATGTATGATATTCTTTTAGAAAAACATCTGTATCCCTTGGCTTTGTAAGACCTCATGTGCTATCACTCCCATCACAGTAATATTTATACTGGCTTCTGTTGGCATTGAGAGATGTAGGAGAGATGGAGAAAGTTCCTGGATCTTTGCATAAAATTGGTTGACAAAGCAGATTTCCTTATATAGAGTATAATCTTTCATTTCTGGCAAAATGTTGCCAGTGTGTACCCTCTTTCCTCTTGAGCTTAACCTTAGAGTCACTTCTAAAGTAGTTTCTACCTTTTCTTCTTGGGAATTTAACTGTGGTATCACTTAAGAATTGTAGCAAGAAAACCAGAGACCAACCTAGATATGAGTTATGTTAAACTTTATAAAGTGACCATTTTTCACTGTACTAGTTCTTTTATACCTGATCATAGGTGAGATCGCCATTCTTGGTGGTGTAGGGGAATGGAATGAAAAACTGTGGAGTTTTACCAAAAAGGCCTCACACATTCAGCTGGACAGGTAAAAGAGTACCCCTACAAAAGATTCTGATTAGGGGAGGTAGAGAATATATAGATATTTTTAAGGTTCACTGCCCATTACCAGTATTACTAGTGTGAAATAATTGTGATTGTAATCTTTGGTATAGTATTATTTTAGGTTTTCTTCAATTCTAATATGTAAAAGAATTGTTAAATTTAAAAGATTCTGAACCTATCGTTGAAACTGAGTTATATCTCAGTGAACCCTATCTTCTGGTATAAACTTGACAATTGATTCCCCCTATCAATTCTCTATCTTCTTGCTTATGGGAAAATAATCTTTATAGAACATCTTGCAAAGCCTCTACAGCTACTAGCATTATTTTCTGGGGGCTTCAGTGACTGATCTAAAATATTCCTTGTATTTTGTTTTTAACTCCTAGTGAAAAGCCTCATAAACATAATGACTTTTGTTTCTTCAGCTTACCAGAAGTGCCTTTACTGGTTGATGTGCCCTGTTTATCTGCTCAGTTGGATGACTCAGTTCTTAACATTGTGAAAGACCACATTTTCAAGCATGGAACAGTAGCATCTCGGCCACCAGTACAGATAGAAGAACTAATAGAGAAGCCTGGGGGTATTGTCGTCCGATGGTGTAAGGTAAGTAGTTCAGAATTGTAGACTTGGCTTCAACATGATGGGATTTGGGGGCCCTTTAAAATTATTTTATTAGTTACTCTTGAATATTTCCTTCTCTTCATAAACAAAAGTTCCTTTTGCTTTACAATTGAAGTCATAGGGATTTTGAACTGAGTTAGCTTTTCCAGTTTGAGACAAAAAGTGTTGAAGGTACTTTTTATAATCTCTGTTATTACAACACTGTTTCCTATCACATACTTCCCAAACTTAAGTCTCACTGAGTTGGGGATCTCTTCTATTTCTGTTTACTAGAAAAATAAAAAGATGATAGCAGGTATTGGGCACCTGGTATTTTCTGCTCAACACTGAACTCATACCTCTGAAATAAAGTTCCTAAAGTCTGGTTTCTTTGCATTTCAGCATTGCTGAGAATTTTGCATATTAAATCATTACATTTATGAATTACCATATTTTATATAGAAACCATGTGCAATAGTATCTTGCTGTTGACAAACAGCATTCAGAAGTGGGTGCTCAGCTTCTGGAAACTATTTTCTTAAAAGGGATTTTGTTGTTGTTGTTAATGAAACCTTTGTACAGAAGAAAGTAGAGATGCTTTTGTTGGTTAAAACAAGGACTCTTACTCCATTTTTATTCTTTTGCCTATCAGAGGGCCTATAGTTGTTTCCATTTTCTTTTGCTATAAGCGTTATTATGCATGTTTCCTTGTGTATACGTGTAAGATTTTTTTCTAAAGTATATACCTAGCCATAAAATTAGGAGGTCTTATAGTGTTGAATCTGTATTCTACTCAGTAATAGCAAATTCTTTCCAAACTGATTGCACCAGTGTATCCTCCCCCCAGCAGGGTATGAGTTCCTGTTACTCTGTATCCTGACCAGTACCTGGCATTTCCGACTTTATATTTTTGCCATTATGTTATGATATCTCATTGTGGTTTTAGATTGCATTTTCATATTATGAATTTAGTTGGACATTTTTACATATTTTGGCTGCTTATACTTTTCTATAGAATGCTTATTTGTATCTTTTGTCCATTTTTCTATGGGGTGGTTTGTCGTCTATTAAATTTTAGGAGTCCTCTATATTCTGGATATTTTCTTGTTTCTATGAATGATGTAACTGTGGGATTCTTATCCTTGAATTTGGAATGTTCTATCTTTGGCAATATAGTATAGAAAACATGCCATTTCTTCAAAGAAAACAGATTTTTTTCATATTAGCCTCCAAAGTATAAAACACATAGTTCAGTAGAGAAAAGAAGGAAAGTAATGATAGCACATTTCCTGTCCTTCCTGAGAATAGCCCATATTCAGCACGTGGACTTGGATGCTTGGCCCCAAATGCCCCCATTCAAAGTTCTTAAGCAGTGATGCAGAGAGAAATTATTCTCTGATTTCTACCTAACATAAAGCCTCTCTCCTTAGGTGGATGACGACTTTACAGCCCAAGATTACAGGCTCCAGTTTCGTAAATGTACTTCAAATCATTTTGAGGACGTATATGTAGGCTCTGAAACTGAATTCATAGTATTGCACATAGACCCCAATGTTGATTATCAGTTCAGAGTCTGCGCCCGAGGAGATGGCCGGCAGGAGTGGAGTCCTTGGAGCGTCCCCCAGATGGGTCATTCCACATTGGTGCCTCATGGTATATGCTGTTGCCCCCTCCCTCCCAAAGCTTAGCTCTGTGTGAGAACACCTGTACTCTCTGCTAAAGGCAGCACACCCACAAGCCTTTTTGTTAAGGTTAAACCCTGAACTGAGGAGAACAACGTGGAACATGTCTTACTCCCTGCATAAATTACTTCATGTGAATTTTGAGAAATTATTATTTCCAGAGTACAAAAACAGCACTAGGCAGCATTATTAGCATCTCCTAAAACCAGAGATTTTAAATATTGTATTAGGACATTCATTTTCCAAATCTTCAGCAAATATCTGATTAGAGGCTTTTTCTTCAAAGTCTTACGGTTTGAAATTGATCTCTCCTGTAGTACTATTTTAAAAGATTTTGACTCATTTGTTAATTAGATCTTAATCAGGTTGGAGTAAACTCAAACAATTAATGCTTTACCAGGATTTTATTAGATAGCAGATAATACTTACTTGATCTTCCATGCCAAAATTGTGCAGGAATAAAGTGAAATCTTTTTTGTGATTTATAAGATTGACTATGATACCATGTCAGTGAATCTTTTCTTTTATTGAACTTGTCCATGACCCCTAATAGTAGTCTGTTCTACTTCCAAGTTTTATTTAATGTGTCTGTATTGGAGCTATTCCTCAAAAGATTTTGATTATTTTCAATGTCTTTGCTTTTTAAAAAGAGTGGACAGCTGGTTTTGAGGGGTACAGTCTGAGCAGTCGAAGAAATATAGCCCTCCGGAATGATTCTGAATCCATGGGTGTTCTCTACTCCAGTGCTCCGACTTACTTCTGTGGGCAGACCTTAACATTCAGGCAAGTGGATATTAAGTATCTGTCTGTCATGCCTTAAGCAATATGATGAAGTGCATAGAGTGTACATAAGCTTTGGATTCAAGGTAGTCCTGAGTTTATTTATAGGCATCGTTTATAGGGAGTATTACTTTGAGGAGATTCCCTTGTTTCTTTATTTTTATTTTTATTTTTATTTTTTATTCATTTTATTATCATTAATCTACAATTACATGAAGAACATTATGGTTACTAGACTCCCCCCTTCACCAAGTAACCCCCCACAAACCCCATTACAGTGACTGTCCATCAGCTTAGTAAGATGCTGTAGACTCACTGCTTGTCTTCTCTGTGTTGCACAGCCCTCCTTATGCCCCCACCACATTATACATGCTAATCGTAAGGCCCCCTTTCTTTTTCCCTGCCCTTATCCCTCCCTTCCCATCCCTCCTGCCCAGTCCCTTTTCCTTTGGTAACCGTTAGTCCATTCTTGGATTCTGTGAGTCTGCTGCTGTTTTGTTCCTTCAGTTTTTCTTTGTTCTTATACTCCACATATGAGTGAAATCATTTGGTACTTGTCTTTCTCTGCCTGGCTTATTTCACTGAGCATTATACCCTCTAGCTCCATTCAAGTTGTTGCAAATGGTAGGATTTGTTTTCTTCTTATGGCTGAATAATATTCCATTGTGTATATGTACCACATCTTTATCCATTCATCTATTGATGGACACTTAGGTTGCTTCCATTTCTTGGCTATTGTAAATAGTGCTGTGATAAACATAGGGGTGCATCTGTCTTTTTCAAACTGGGCTGCTGCATTCTTAGGGTACATTCCTAGGAGTGGAATTCCTGGGTCAAATGGTATTTCTATTTTGAGCTTTTTGAGGAACCTCCATACTGCTTTCCACAATGGTTGAACTAATTTGCATTCCCACCAGCAGTGTAGGAAGGTTCCCCTTTCTCCACAACCTCGCCAACATTTGTTGTTGTCTTTTGGATGGTGGCGATCCTTACTGGTGTGAAGTGATATCTCATTATGGTTTTAATTTGCATTTCTCTGATAACAAGCGATGTGGAGCATCTTTTCATGTGTCTGT